GTTCTGTCCTCTCCATTTCTTCCTAGTGGAATTTGTCTGTTTAAAGAGGAAACGGCAGAGCTACCATATGCAAGTACAAACTGAACATGCGCAGTCTAAGAGAGACAGCCCACTTAGCAGTGTTATAGGAATCTAACAGATCTAATAATGTTATAATCTGACATTATAATGCTAACATCTAGGGTTAGCATTATAATGAATCGTTGCTTTTCTCTATCTAGGGTAAACAATAGAATAGAATAGTTGTTTCTAGATGTACTTTCACCTTGAAGAAATTATTGTGGAAAACAGTGATTCTTTTCTGTGATTCATAGAATTTCATACGCTTTCTGAGAGAGATTTATTAACTTTGCATGACTTTGGTCACAAGATTCCTCTGGCACGCCTGAAGCTCTTGGATTACTGGGTACTGCAAACAGTAAACTATACTGAACCAAGTAGCAGGACTGTGATGACAATATCAACCTAAGTAGCAGGGGTCTGTGCTTCCCACCTAGAGACACGCAGATTAGATCAAGGACTTTAGTAAAAGGAAGTGTTTGCCCAACATACAACTTTGTGTAACAATCATTAAATATAACTTTAAATGGTATTTCAAGGATTAATCCTTAGAAGCTAGACCTTCCTGCTGCCACACAGGACTAAAAATTCATATTGGAGTGACCCATCCTTCCACCTACCGATGCAACAATGAACACACAAATGGTTGGACGTAAGACGCAGGCATAGTTATAGAAAAGACTAACCAGAGCTGGATTATTTGGCCAAATATGTTGCTTAGACCATGTTGACATTTTAACTTTATTGCCTATAACAATATTTTAATACATTGATCATTCAATTTCTTGCCATGGAGGCATTTTGCATTACAGGTGATGTTTGGCCAACTCAGTCTACTCTTACAAGCTAAAATTCAGTAATTAAGAGAATCTAATGCTCTTGCAGGGGATGTGAGTTCATTTTCCAATGTGCATGTGGTGGCTCACAAGCACAAGTAGCAGCAATTCTAGAGGATCAGAATCCCTCCTCTGACATCCTCAGGCTCATGTGCAAAAGATGGGCATCAGGACACACATAAACACACAAACACACACACATACCTAAAACTGGTATAATGATGATAGAAAATATATAATTAAAAATTTTAAGCTGGGCATGGTGCTACACACCTTGAATCCCAGTACTAAGGATGCTGATGGAGCCAGATGACTGAAGTGGAAGTCAGCCTGGTCTATCACTGAGTTCCAGGAAAGGCAGAGATATGCACAGAAACTGTGATGAAAATAAAACTTAAATCTCAGGTCTTACCTTTAGGGGGAAAATGATATTTGAAGGTAATATTGTTTTCTCACTATTTACATTTATATACAAAAACAAATGGTTAAACACCTGCCAGTTGTCATGTAAAAAGGCATATCCTTTCCTCAGTGATGCAAAAATCTAGTGAAATAGACTCTTTGCTGGTGCACTTCTCATAGATCTGCTCCTTGAAACATTTGTTCAATGTTTCTTCAGCCTATTCCACAACCAAATGGCACTGTGCAATGATATAGAGGTAGGAGGATAGGGAAAGGATACATGTTCCATAGGGAAGGGAGAACATGCTCTCATATGTACAAAGACTTGATAAATAGACACTACTTGATTAGAATCAGGATCATGACAGCCTCAGCCACAATGGTGGTTTTTAGACTCCATACAGGAGCAGCTGCTCAAAGAGGAGGACTTGACTAATGTGAAGTTTGAGACCAGTGAGGAGGTGAGTGTGACTCTCACTTTCCACACCATGGGAATGAGGCAGAATCATCTGTGAGCATCTTTGACTATGGTTTTGAGAAACATTCAGCAATCCAGCAATATACTACCAAGGAGATAATTAAAGGGAGAGATGTCACTGCACAGTCTCAGTCTGGCACAGGCAAGGCGACCACTTTCATTAGTTCAGTCCTCCACTGCTTAGATAACCAGGCTTGAGAAACACCAGCTTTTATCCTCAATCCAACAAGAGAGTCAGCTGTAGAGATTCAAAAGGGGCTTGTTCTGGGGGACTACAAGAATGTGCATTTGAATGCCTCAATTGTGGGGAACAATGCTGGAACGATCTGCAGTGGCTGGACTATGGGCAGCATGTTGTGGCAGGCACACTGGGACATGTCATTCAGATGATTCTGTGTAGTTTAAGCACATGGCTATCAAGATGTTGGTTTTGGATGAGGCTGATGAATTGTTGAACAAAGATTTCAGGAAGGAAATCTATGATGTATACATGTGCCTGCCACCAGTCACACAGGCCATTCTCATCAGTGCCACATGGCCTCAGGAGGTCCTGGAGAAGACCAATAAGTTCATGACTGACCCCATACACTTCTTGGTGAGTGTGATGAACTGTGTAAGGCATTGGACGTTTCTTGTGGCAATGGAAAGGGAGTAACAGAAATTTGATATTGTGTCGTTTCTATGACAGGCTGACCCAACTGTCATCTGCAACACCAAGAGGAAGTTTGACTGTTGACAGACAAAATGAGACAAGCAAATGCCGTGTGCTGTCAATGCTTGGACATGCCACAGAAGGAGACCCAGACCATCATGAAGGAGTACCAGTACCAGCTGGTGGCCATTTCCATAGACTTCTGGGCACAGTGTCAGATATCCCGCAGGTGGTCGTCATCACTATGACCTGCCGAACAACAGAGATCTGCAGTTTGTCCATGCTGTCCCACTTTCAGAACCATGTCTGTCAGCAGCTGTGTTTTGCTCATCAGCATTCAAAAACCTCAAATCGACACAATAACACAGAGAATCCAGACCTTCTGTGTATTAACCATCTCTATGTGGCTTATTCTTTTTTATTATTTCACTTATGTCTTTAAAGACTTTATTATTTTTAACTATTTATTTGTTTCTAAGACTGTCTATGCACATTTTTTTTTTCATTTTCTTAAGCTTACACACATTGTAAACACACTGGAACCTGTTTAGAGGGTTTTCCACCTGGACATCTTTAACTGCCTATCTCTAGCCTTTTTTTTTTAAATCATGTGAGTAAATTCCAAATTGCTAAGATACAGCTGTGTCCTCCGAGGAACTCTATATGCTGGCTCTGCCTGCTTCTAGGTTTGTGAGGGCTAGGCCTAAAGTTCATGACCCAACTGGAGATGTGTGACCAGGAATTGCATTCAACCTTCCTGGCTGTTGGAAGCCAGTACTGATAATTAAAATATCTGGTGGTAGTGGGTAAGTCTGCCATTTCTATTTAGTGCTGTGTGCTGACCCAATATTTCATTAAGAATGATTAGAATCCTGGCAGTTGGTAGCACATGTATGATGCACTGCCATCATCCAGTGATCTAGATTCTCCTACATCAACTAGCATAAATAAATGTCCCACAGACATGTCCATGGGCCAATCAGATCAAGGAATCTACACAACTGAGATTTACACATAGTGCTAGGCTGTGTGAACTTGAGAGTAGAAAAAACAAGGATATCAGCATTTCCATTATTTCCTCTCAATAAATATTCTTTGTTGTTAGTGAAGATTAGAATATTATTAAGGGTTTTCTCATAATTTGGGTATGTGGAGTTTGGTGTTGCTAAAGAATAGAAATGTTATTGAAGGCTTTTCTGCAATATTTGAGTGTACAGAGTTTCTCACTACTATGAAGTCTCAGAGGATACTTCCCATGTGAAAGAGGGGAAAAGCCTTGCCATCATCTTAGCCTTTTTTCATGTACCTTACCAGTGTGAACCTATGCTGCAGATACAGGTATGAGGAATAGCTAAACAACTGGTCATACTCTACATTTTCAGAGACTCTCTAATGTGACTTCCTTGATGCTCAACAAGGGGTGAATGATAAAGAAAAATTTTCTCAATGCTCTGCACATTTCTAGGGTTGTTGCTTAGTATGAACACCTTTCTTTGTTTAATGCAGCAGTTCTAAACATATGGGTCATGACACCTTGGAGTTCAAATGACCTTTTCTCAGGAGTCACCTAAGACCATTGAATACAAAGATATTTACATCATGATTTATATCAGTAGCAAACTGTTAGTTTGGAAGTAGCAAGGAAAACAATTTTATGGCTGGGCTCAGCACAGCATGAGGAACTGTATTAAAGGTATCAGCATTAGGAAGGCTGAGGAGCACTGGTTGAAGGTACGAGGGCTCCTTGAAAGCATTGCCACACCATCCACAGTTGTGTTGTTTCCCTCTGGGATGAATTCTAAGAAGGGCAGGAAATGTTGATTGAGTGCTCAAGGACCTCACCAGACCCTTCACATGTGTATGGCTTCCTTGTACTATGGATTCTTTAGTGCTGGGTAATACGGTCTGAATGACCCAAAGGCTTTACCACATTGTCCCTATTTGTAGGGCTTCTATTCAGAATACTTTTTGATATCTTGTAAAGAAGTAAAAAGCATAAAACATTTTATGAAATTTTTAACATTAGTAGTATTTCACTGAAGTTTGAACTGCCTTGGGATGAGAAACACTAGAAATGTATTAAAGGGCTTTTATCATTTTTGACACTAGTGGCATTTCTCTCCAGTATGAATTATCAAGTGTTTCAAAAGGTGTTACTAACTGCAAAAGACCTTGGCGCATTCTTCACAGGGCTTCTCTCTCAAATGATCTCTTAGTTGTTGTTTAAGACCAGAACACTGGTGAAAGGCCTTCCCATTCTCCAACTAGTAATGTTTCTCTCCAATGTGACTAGTCTGGTGGATAGAATGTGCTGTGTAAGTTCTAAAGTCTTTACCACATTCTTTATACTTGTATGGTTTCTCTCCAGAAAGAATTCTTGGATGTTCTTTAAGGTTCTGGTACAGATGATCAGTTTGCCATATTCTTCACATTTGTAAGGTTACTCCGCAGCGTGAGTTAATTCGTGGTGATTGAGTTGTGACTTTCTATAGAAGGCTTTTCCACACTCCTCACACTTGTGGGTTTTCTTTCCAGAATGGATTATCATGTGATCAGAAAGATTCCGAGAAACTCTAAAGACTCTGCCACACACTTCACACTTGTAAGGCTTCTCTCCTGTATGAATTCTCTTGTGTTCTGAAAGTAATGATGGAATTCGGAAAGCTTTGCCACATTCCTCACACTTGTAGTGTTTCTCTCCTGTATGAATTCTCTTGTGTACAGAAAGTCCCGATGGACTATTGAAGGCTTTGCCACATACTTCACAATTGTAAGGTTTCTCTCCCGTATGAATATTCTTGTGTATGGAAAGTCCTGATGAACTATTGAAGGCCTTGCCACATACTTCACACTTATAAGGCTTTTCTCCTGTGTGAATCTTCTTGTGTACCGAAAGTCCATATGTACTATTGAAGGCCTTGCCACATTCGTCACACTTGTGGGGCTTCTCTCCTGTATGGATTCTCTTGTGTTTAGAAAGTTTTGATGGAATATAGAAGGCCTTGCCACATACTTCACACTTGCAGGGTTTCTCTCCTCTGTGAACCCTCTTGTGTACAGAAAGAGTTGAGAGACGATTGAAGAGCTTCCCACATATTTCACACTTGTAGGGTTTCTCTTCTGCATGAATTTTCTTGTGTTCAGTAAGTCGTGATGGAAAATAGAAGGCCTTGCCACATATTTCACATTTGTTTGGCTTTTCTCCTGTATGAATGCTCTTGTGTGCAGACAGCAGTGATGGACAACTGAAGGCCTTGCCACATGTTTTACACTTGTAGGGTTTCTCTCCTGTATGGACTCTTTGGTGTTTAGAAAGTAATGATGGAGCATTGAAGGCCTTGCCACATTCTTCACACTTATAGGGCTTCTTTTTTAAATTAATATTCTGGTTGTTACTGGGTTGTGGGTTGCAAGAAATGGTTACGCCACTCTCTTTGCCTGTGGAGTGTTTTCTTCCTGGTGAACAAAGGTTGAGAAGTAAGTGAGAACTGAGCTAAATTCTCTATATTTATGTTTATTTTTTAAATAGGAATCATTTCCTCATACCTGCATTTTTAAATATAAATAATTTTACATTCAGATTTCTAAATTTGTATTCAGTGGAGCCTCATTAAAAACACCATGACAGGTGGAAATTATGTAATTTTCAGTGGAAGACAAAGGCCATGACAACATAGACCATAGAATCAAAGCAATATTAATCAAAGTGAAACATGTAAGGAAGGCACAACATGAACAATTGGGAAAACAAGACTATTGTGCTATTGTAAATGAGCTGCTTAAAGAAATATAGAGAACACAAAATATTAAAGTAGTGAAAGTTGGAAGACACATATTTTCAGAATATATATCTCCTAACAATGGACTTCTAGTTTTAGAAGGTATAAAAATTATGCTGCATAACAAGACTGTCCATAACAATATTAAATAATTCATTTCATGGATTTGAGACAGTAGGGTCTATACTCACTTAATGAATAAATATCCACTGATTAACTTATGAAAAAGAAATCATGATTACCTAGAAATTACAGAACTTAGGCAGTCACTGTAAACACAAGCTGACCTAATGGGAGAAGAACAAAGCCTAAGAGAATCCATGCATCATCACACCCTCTTCTCACAGCAAAAGATAGAAAAGGAAACCCTTAAAAACTGATTTCATCAGAACATTGTGAGGCAATGTTCATGACAAAGCCTGGCTTCCTGTTGGATCTCAGGCCTCCCACTCTGTCCTTATCCCCCATTCCTACACACCTGTTTGCATGGCAGCCGATGCTTGTCTCTTCGTATCTGAAGGCCCTTGACTTTGCTCCAGAAATGTGACCAGGTATGGCTTCGAGGAAGCAAGACCTATTTATGGGAAAAGAGAACACCACTATTAGTGTGATCTCCTGGAGACCTCATGTCCTCTTTAGGACTGTCTGTACAAGGAATGAGAAGAGACAATCAAGGATTGTAGAGGATTAGTTCTTCAGGTATTTCCTGGAGGAGACAGCAGAATGATTAGGAAAATTTAGGATTTGCAGGTCCTGACCTTCGTGTCCCTCACCTAGAAGGAAAAATATTAAAACTGAAGAGTGTGACATTCTTTTTAACTTGTATGCTTCCCATTCACACCACTTACTTTATAACATTACACAAACATAACGGATACTTCTGAAGGGAAGGGGAGGTTATGAACAGAGAAACAAACAACATCATTCGAAGGTGTATGAATACTCTCCTTAATTTTCCTTAAGAATTGCCCAAGAAATTTCATTGTTGGAAGCATAAGCCCCGATGAGATATTGTACGAAGATAGTTCATCATGGAAATGTTCCTGACCCATGCTGTAGGATATATTTTAAGGTGTGTTGCTTTTGTTTATGCTCGGGAACATTTGTTCAATAATGCAAAGATGTGAAAGATTAAATAAAATTCACCTGTGCTCTGGAGGCTGAATCTGCAACTGGCTGACAGGCAGTGGTAGGGAGGAGCCAGGAGAAGGAATGGTTTTTAAGTAGGGGTGAGGAGAGGAAGTGGGGCATTCTGAGAGACAACAGAAGGAGAGAAGGTGAGCTACTTGCTATTCAGCCTCTCTGAGGAGCAGAATTCCACCTCAACCTCTGAACCTTCAGTTCTTTAGAGGGGCAGAGATTTAGACAAATTCCCTTCCTAGCTGTGAAAGAGTCCAGTGCCTGAGGGAACAGAATTCCCTCAGGCTTCTGCTCTTGTGTCCTAACAGCTGCTGGTAGCAGAGGAGTTGCACTTCCTGATTAGGACAGCCATGGTTTTAAAGGCAGCCACAATTTGAAAAAGAACAACTCACCCAGGAATACGAGGTTGCTGTAATTCTCCAACATCACATCCTTGTACAGATCCCATTGATCTGGGCCCAGGCATTCACGCTCCTCGGCAGAGAAATCAATGGCCACATCCCTGAATGACAGCATTTCCTGAAATAAAGAAAAAAGAATGAAGTCAATACATTATGCTAATTAAAACTGCCAATAAAAACATAAATACCAAGAGGCATGTGTTTCTGGATATTAATGCAAAGGTGACCCAGAGTAAGAGGATGCCTACAAGCACTTCTGATATAGGAAGTCAATATACCTAACATAAGTCTCATGTAGTTCCTTAATGTAGCATAGGACTCATGATTAAGGAAATCGAATGGCAGAAAGTCCTAGAAACTCCCATGGATATTATATATACATTTAACAACCATAAATGGAGAGCAAGTGTATCTACAGAAGAGTATGTTGAGGCTGGAGAGATGGCTCAGTAGTAAACAGCACTGGCTGCTCTCCCAAAGGACCTGGGCTTCATTCCCAGAAGCCACATGGCTGCTCACAAATGTCTGTAATTCCAGTTCCAGAGGATCAGACAGTCTCTCAGACGTGGACACTGGCAAAGCAACCATGCACACTACATGAACAAATAAATAATACAATTTTGAAATGAATGTAGGTTCTCACAGTAGAGAGCGATGGTGATGATGATGACACTTCTCACCTCAGTATGAACCATCACGAATGATAAACACAATGAAGATGCAGATCTGATCCAGCAACTCTGGGCTGAGGCCTGGCTTCCTGAGCATGTACAATGTGATGCAAATGACAGTGCGACAGGGGACATGAGTTTCAGCCACCAAGGGGCACAACAATAAATGAAGAGCTTGTGGACAATATGGAATCACAAGTACTTTAACAAATTTGGGATTTGGAAATTTAGCAATAAGTTTAGTCACTGTGGGGACTTAACACTGACCCAAGACTCTCTCAGAGGCCCTGGTGAAAGGACAAAGGAAATGATAAAGAAAACATTAGAGGAACCAGAAATGTTAAAATGCAGGACTGTTTTCAAGTGAAGGAAATGACCCACGTCTGTTCACTAGGAAGCTGGAGTGGGTGGTGTCTAACAACCTGGTGATCTTCTGCTAGTCTCTGGATCCCACTGCACCTGAATCTCACCCCACCCCAAATCCTGAGCATTGTTCAGGCCCTCATTCTGAGCTTTGTCTCTCAGTGAATAAAACCCATCCTTATGAAAATGGTCCTATGAAATTTTCATCCTCAGTCAATAAAACCCATGCTTGTGCTTACTACAAATCCAC